GACTGCCCCCAGCGTCACCCTGAGGTCTATAACCAGTAAAATGCATCATCATATCCAACAATTATGCACGCGTCATGGATCTAATGTACGGGGGCAGTGCTACGGCCCGTCCATCTACGCGCAGCCCGTACAAAACCTGAACATCCTCCAGCGTGATGGTGGCCTCTCCAGTGGGCAAATGAAAAGTGTGCGTCTCCGGTCGCCACCACTCTACCAAGGTCGTGATGAGAGACCAATCAAGTTGCATCCGTCCAAGCTCAAAAATCGTATAGAAGCCCGTAGCCTGTAGGCGCGCGACTACGCGAGCATGGAAAGGATGCTCCCCGATGAACTCTCACAAATCGTCAGGTCTCCTAGGGCGGAGAGGCTGCATCGATAGTTGTCCCTCCCATACAAATGAGGACATATGGTTGCCCTACAATATTAGTAGCTGATCCTCGGCAGGTCCGGGATGCGCAGGCGGAGGAAAGTCCATGTTGTCTACTATAATTTAAACAAAATTAATTGTGCCTGTTAGCTTAATAAATTAAATAATTAATTATGTTTAAAATTGGATTGAATAATTATGTACGAGTTCCAGGCTCAATATTTGAGGCCCGGTAGTACCGAGTTATCCTTAATTATTATGCGTGTTAATTTCAACATTTTTAGAATTGTGCTTGTTAGCTTAATAAATTAAATAATTAATTATGTTTAAAATTGGACTGATTAATTATGTATGGGTTCCAGGCTCGATATTTGAGGTCCGATAGCACCGAGTTATCCTTAATTATTATGCGTGTCAATTTCAACATTAATAGAATTGTGTCTATTAGCTTAATAAATTAAATAATTAATTATGTTTACAATTGGACTGAATAATTATGTACGGGTTCCAGGATCGATATTTGAGGCCCGGTAGCACCGAGTTATCCTTAATTATTATACGTGTCAATTTCAACATTTTTAGAATTGTGTGTGTTAGCTTAATAAATTAAATAATTAATTATGTTTACAATTGGACTGAATAATTATGTAGGGGTTTCAGGCTCATTTTTTGAGGCCTGGTAGCACCGAGTTATCCTTAATTATTATTCGTGTCAATTTTAATATTTTTAGAATTGTGTGTGCTAGCTTAATAAATTAAATAATTAATTATGTTTACAATTGGACTGAATAATTATGTAGGGGTTTCAGGCTCATTTTTTGAGGCCTGGTAGCACCGAGTTATCCTTAATTATTATTCGTGTCAACTTTAATATTTTTACAATTTTGTGTGCTAGCTTAATAAATTAAATAATTAATTATGTTTACAATTGGACTGAATAATTATGTATGGGTTCCAGGCTCGATTTTTGAAGCCCGGTAGCACCAGTTATCCTTAATTATGATGCGTATCAATTTTAACATTTTTAGAATTGTGTGTGCTGGCTTAATAAATTAAATAACTATGTTTAAAATTGGACTGAATAATTATGTATGGGTTCCAGACTCGATATTTGAGTTAATTTTACAACATATAGGAATTTGTTACTTTTGTAAGTTTATTGTTGTAATTAAATAATTAATTTTGTAAAGTGTAATTGAATAGAGTTTGCAGTTACTATATACTTAAACTACATAGACTCTACGCTAAAAGGCTCTACATTTTACTACACTAAAAGGCTCTATATTTTACAACACTAACAGGCTCTATATTTTACTACACTAAAAAGCTCTATATTTTACTACGCTAAAAGGTCACTATTACATATAAAAACAACTAACATAAAATACAAATATGAACAACAAACAAAATAAATAATATTAATTTTTTAACAATACAAATAATTTATCAAATTTTAACAATTTTTTGTACCAAAGCTAATAAATCAATCCGGGTATAAATAAGATACAAATTTAAACACAAACATAACACAAATTAACATGGAAACACATTAAACAATACAAATATGCATGTACTATACAAGTTTCGACATAAACAAAATTGAAATACCTCGATTTAAGTTTTTTAAATTTGATTGAAATCGAATTTTTGCACCCGAAAAAGGAATCCAAAGCTTGTCTTGTATGTGGGACCTACACTCCTTGCTCTTTAGGTGACGGGTGGGGCCCAAAATATTTTTTTTTGAAGTTTGACGCGGGGGTGGGGGACCAGCAGAATCGAAGGTGTTGGTTTCCTTCGGTTCAGTGGTCCAAGGAAGAAGAAAGGGCTATATTTTATTGAAGTTGTTCGCAGTATTATACTGCGTTTTAAGTAAAATGCAGTATAATACTGCGAACAGCTTTAATAAAATATAGTTGGGCCCAGCATCTTAGTAAAACGCAGTATAGTACTGCGAATTACGTATAAAAATATTTTTTTAAGTAAAACGCAGTACTATACTGCGAATTACTTTAACGGCAAAATTTCTGTTAAAGTAATTCGAGTCATTTATGTAACTTTTTTTTAAAGTAGTACAAAAGTATTTTTTGTACAAAAAATAATTAAAAAGGTTTAGGAGCTGTCACTCAGCAACACGACAAAACAGCCCTCTACTTTACCATTATAAAAATCCCCCGACTGAGTACTTTTTTGTTTTTGCATGTAAAAGTCAAAAAGCATAGCTACTATGGTCTACTCATACAGAAAATAATAATTGCATGTAAAAGGGAAAAGCAGAGCTACTATGCATACGTTGATTGATTATATCTAGAAATTCGAAGACTCAAGAAGCATATCAAAAAGGATTTAATTTAAAATTAAACTAATTCAAATGACTTTATGCATAGGGAGACGGGCCCATGAGAAGGAAGTGGAGATTAGCGCTAATGATCACGCTCATCTACAGCGTATGAGCTAGTACTACAAAAAAGCATGGCTGTATGTACTCTCTGTTGCAGACTATGAACAAAAACCCTAATTCCTCTCTCTATTCTTCTTCTTCTTCTTCTTCTTTGAGATGGCTAACGAAAGCAAGGAGACCACAAGTACTGCCATGGAGATGAGGGAAATGCGTGCTCTAATCGGGAGGATATTCGGGGTATTGCGTGACAGACAGGACAAGTCTGATCAAGCAATTCTAGAGCTGAAGGAAACCGTTGAGTCGTTGAAGAATCAACAGAAAGGAAAAGAGGAATTCGAGCCCGAGAAACCTTCCGTGAATGCTTCCGGCTATGGCAACTCATCTACGCTTCAGGTACAATAAAAAACCCTATGGAGTTAAACTATAACTCCTTTTTTCATTCGCCTTCTCTAGATTTGACTTTCCAAAAGTTCTCTTGTAATGATTTGTAATATTGGCTCTATTTCTTTGTATTCATGTTTTAGGGACGCGGAAAAACCCTAACCACGAGTAAGGTTGTTGTTGACGTTCCAACTGTAGATCGTGTGACTACAGAGCAAGAAGAAATAACCATGAGGATATCAATGGATGCTGTAGTAGAATATTCTGAGCCATACAAAGGTTTCTCACGTGTGACTGGGTACCATGGGAAACGACCTGTGAATATCCTAATTGGTTTAGGGGGGAGTACTCACAATTTTATTGATGAATCCTTTGCAGATAAGTTAGGCTGTGACACATTTCCAATCAAGCCTCGATCTGTTAGCTCAGCTTTTGGTAATATGGTGACCTCCAGAGCATGCTACAATTTCCAATTGTTACTGCAAGGCGCCCTGTTTATTTTGGATTTATATCTACTTCCATTCTCGTCAAATTGTGAAATGGTACTAGGAGGCGAATGGCTAGCGACCATTGGGGGGCAATTTACTATGGATTCTAAGGGTATGGAGTTTTCCTACCAAGGTAAGAAACACTTTTTACCTTTCAAGAAATCAGCTGAACGCAATAAGTGCTAAGGGTCTTGACAAATTGGAAGTACTGATGCCTCTAGTTGACTGTTTTATATAGCTTTTTCCTAATGGGGACTTTAGGTTTGATCTCTCTGCTCTCTCCTTAAATTCCCTGCTATGTTTCTTAAGGATATGATTATGCTATTAAAGCTACTAGTTTATGGTTTGTACTATTTTCCTAACAGTTCTCCCTCTATGTGAAAGTAAACGAACTACTTGTAAGGTTATCTATCAATATTATATGTTTTTTGTGAGTTGGTTATACCAGTCTTGTTAGGTTATGCATTTCTTTGAATGTTTGCTTTTCCATCCTTCCCCTGCTTCTTGAGTTGTTGCAGTGTGATCTGCCATTTTTGCTATTTGTGGATTAATTATTGGTTGTTTGTTGAATTGTGTTTAGTTAAAAGTTATTTTAGATTTTCAAAACTCTCACATTTAGCTCTTGTAAATTATGAACAAGTCACCTTGACAACCATTTCCGATTTCCTGGCAGTCCAATAGCTTTTCTGATCTTTGGCCAAGGCATATTGTTATGTTTGTATAGGATGTTGGTACTTAGGACTATTATACAATATCTAATTCTTCTCCTACTTGCACTTTACAAAATGGTTCCTTGGAAACTGTATATCGGATAAGTTTAAAGCTTAATAAACTTCAGAATTCGCAGTGTCATGGTGATCTGTATATTTCACAAATTTTCCACTCACTTTTGTTATTAGGAATTTATAAAGTTGCATCGAATCAGTCTTGGACCAATTAGACATGGTAATTTAGAAAACAATTCATATTGCACTTGTGACGGTCATATACTAGCTTGATTGTCAAGGGGATGTGAGTTCATTTAGTAACATTTTCATGTGGCTCGTAGGATTTTGTCCCTCCAATAATTTTTCTTGCCCTCATGTTCATGAAGTTAGAACTACTCCCCAGGGCAGTGATATACCTCCAAAAATATTTATTCTGGAAAAGGAAATCAACAACTACAATGACAACCCATTAAATCTCACAAAGTGGGGTCTGGGAAGGATAGTGTGTACGCAGACCTTACCCTTACCTAATGGGGTAAAGACTGTGTTTTCGATAGACCCTCGGCTCACGGAACTAAAACAAGAAGAGACAATTCATCAGAGCAGAAACCATAGAAATAGTAATAGAAGCATAAAAAGCATAAAATAGATGACATGCAATAACAATACTCAATAATTAAAGCCCGAGGCTATGATAAACGGATGGAAAAGGAAATCAGGGTAGAAAAATTGCCTGCCATATTGGATTCAATAAATTGTAAAATTGACTTAAGATATGCCTCTTTGCTTTTTGTTTGCAACTCAAAAAAATTTGTGCTCTGGTCTCCTCATGCCAACAAAAATGAACTAATTGGCGGTGTACAGCAAACTTCTTTCTACTTTTCTTTTTGGATCTTTTTCCGGGTTTAATAGGTAAAGATGACAACCACCAAAGGTGCAAATATATTGACTCACGTCTAATGATACTCTAATTGGGAAAAAGGAACTGATTGGGTTGTGATGGCTAATATCACTGTTCTTGAGCTTTCTTCGGATGAGCAGACGTTAAAAAGATTTTTCTAATGGCCAAATATTTATTCTAAAGATATATACATCCAAAATCGAAGCAGGGATGAAGGACAAGAATACTATTTTCCCTAATCCAAACTAATTGGGTCAAATTCTTCATTATATACATCATCAACAACAACAAATCCAGTGCAATCCCACACGTGGGGTCTAGGGAGAGTAGTGTGTACGCAGACCATACTCCTACCTTTATCTACCTTATAAAGGTATGGAGATTATTTTCGAAAGACTCCCGACTCAAGAACGGTAAAAAGGAATAAACCAACATTAACAATGGCAAGGAAATAAGATAAAAGAAACAAATAGCACATCATGTAATAGCAGAGAAACTAGGAATACAAAGCTATATATAAGAGAAGTGATCGAATACAAAGCTATATATAAGAGAAGTGCGAAACTATCGGCAATATTGCCACATCGTCTAATCAGCAAGGAACTCGGAATAGGAGAATACAAGACTAGTACTAATAATACTAATACGACCAGAAGAGAATCTCAATTACCTGTCAGCCCACGAGCCTAACCGTCTACCTCCTTACCTCCCTCTCCGGTAAAAAGCCCTTGACATCCAAATGCTTCCACTTGTTTTTGTCTATGTTTGTGATGTCTCATTTTCTCTATTGCTCTCTTTCTTTCTACATCACTTTCACAACATAGTTTTTCCCCCAACCTTTTCACAACTGCGTATAGGAGAAATTTTGGCTTAGTTCTTCGAGTTTTCAGTTTAACTGTCAATTATATTTCTATATTAATTAGATACGATGGATATATCATTTCCTGTTGCACCACCTTCTACTCATTCATAACATGATTTTTCTTAGAAAATGAAATGATGTTATGTTTCCATCTGATATAACTTTCAGTTAAATAAATTTAAAAGGTTTACTTAGTTTTCGAATTAAAAAAATGCATATGAGAAACTTTTACTTAGTTTTCAAATCTATAAGTTTGGGCTTAACAATAAACAATGTATAGTTGTACATTCAAATTATAAGGTTGATATATCAGTTTATTTGGCACCATCTTTCTACTCATTACTAATAGGATTTCTCTTCTAAAATAAAAATGATACTTTCCATTTGATACAAGTTTAAAATGCTATACCAAGATACAAGCTTCTGTTTCATATTGCAAATTGAAGTTCAAAAGTCATTACTCACTCACAATTTACGCCGTTGGGTTTGGGATTATTATTAGTAGAATACAGCGTGGGAAAAATTAGACATTTCGATAAATTGATTTTACTTTGAGAGTCCAAGAAATTTTTAAGACACAATTAGCATATTAAAGGATTTAATTTAGGAACTAATTCTAAAGAAAATGCGCACGTGAGAAGGCGGTGGACGCTGGGGCTAGTACTACAAATACGCATTCTGCGCTCTGTAGTAGAGTACGAACCAAAAACCCTTTTCTCTCGATTCTTCTGCATTTCTTCTTCTTCGACGACGAGATGGTTAAAGGAAACAAGCAAACTACGAATACTGTCATGGAGATTAGGGAAATGCGTGCTCTTATCGAGAGGATGTTCGGAGAATTGAATGCCAGTGTTAACGATCAAAACCCCCATATTGATTCAAAGGAAGATGAAGAAACGAGAAAGAAGAAGATGAAGGAAGATGAGGAAACGAGAAAGAAGAAGATGAAGGAATAAAATAATAATTTCGGATGAATGGTGCACATGTGAATGACACATGGATATACTGCAAAGTAAATAAATATTCCTATACCCATTTCTATTCCTCACACCCATTCATTTAAAATGATACACATTTGAGATGAATGGGCCACACGTGAATACACATGGATATTGTACAATATAAATAAATATTCCCCACACCCATTCATTTAAAGTGATACACATTCCAAATGAATGGTGCACACGTGAATAGCACATGTATATAGTACAATGTAAAGGAATATTTTCGTTAGTTGGTTTTGCAAATAGCCAATAGGATTTAGTACAAGTGTATATGAATATTTATTTACATTCTTTGGTATCGGTACAGAGTTTTGTATAAAGGGACCAAGCTGTTAATAAGAAAACAGAGAAAATTTCTCAATTTCATTCTCTTTTCTTTCATGGTATCAGAGCAGATTTAAGCTCGATCCATTCACAAATCATCTCACGTTTCTATCTGATTTCTTCTCCCTTATCCATTTCTGGATTCAACCATGACTGGTACTGAAGTAACAGCTGCCATCACAGCACCTGGATCCACAACCAGTGCAGTCAACAATGACTCCAATCATCCCTATCAGTTGCACTCTTCTGATACTCCAGGTATGGGGCTTGTGAGTTCACCATTTGATGGAAGAGGATTTCCAGGATGGAAGAGGTCTATCCGCATTGCAATCTCAGCCAAGAACAAGCTTGGATTCATCAATGGATCTGTTGCTGAACCAGCAATGGATGATAAAGAATATCCATTGTGGAGTAGGTGCAATGACATGGTTACCTCTTGGTTGCTGAATTCTTTGACCAAAGAGATAGATGACAGTGTTATCTATTCAAGGACTGCTAAGGACCTTTGGAACAGTCTGGAACACAGGTTTGGACAGTCTAGTTGAGCAAAATTATACCATCTGCAGAAGAAAATTTCAAAAACATGCCAGGGAAACAACAGCATATCAAGTTATTTCACGACACTTAAGAGACAATGGGATGAGCTGGATTCACTTAATTCACACTTAGGGTGTAACTCTGCATGTGTTTGTGATGGTAAGAAGAAGTTGGCCAAGTTCATGGAGGACCAAAGAGTCATTCAATTCCTAATGGTACTAAATGATGCTTATGCACAAGCAAGGGGAAACATTCTCATGCTCAGCCCTATGCCTAGCATAGATCAATGTTACTCTCTTCTTTTACAAGATGAGAGCTAAAGGGAAATCTATACAAGTCCACAATACCCCACTGATGGGACTTCATTCATGGTAGGATCACAAAACAAATTTTCACAGAAAACCAACCTAGTGCAAAGAGGGTGGAATACTCAGTAAAAATCAAGAAACACACAACACAAGTCTAAGCCAAAGAAGTCTAAGTATAATCCTAATGTTACCTGCAGTCATTGCTCAAAGATAGGTCATGTAAGGGCTGATTGCTACAGACTTGTAAGGTTTCCTGATGAATTCCAATTTACCAAGGGTGGAAATTTTCAAGGAACAACAATCAAAACAAATGTTGTAATAACAGATCAGCAAACTGATGGAAAGTATTCTGAGGACAATGAAGGAATCCAAAACAGTCAGCCACAATTTTTCAGTAAGGAACAGGTCTCTGAGCTAGTAAACATAATCCGGCAGGTACAAATTGGAAATACAACAAATGCAAGCTCAAAAATTAGTGTCAATGTTGTTGCTGGTACTATACTCAAATATTCAGGAACATGAATTGCTGTTTTTAATACTAAAACCTGGAAATTGATTCTGGTGCCTCGGAACATATGTGTTTTGATTCCAAATCTTTCCTAAACCTATCACCCTTACCTGTGCCTTTACATATTAGTTTGCCTAATTCTTATCAACTATTTGTCACACATATAGGGGAGGTTTACATTCATCCTGATATGATTCTAAAAAGAGTACTTTATGTTCCATCTTTTAAGTATAACTTGTTATCTGTTCATAAGTTATGCTCTCAATTCAAATATAGCATCAACCTTACTTC